TATAGAGCATGTAAATTAACAGACATTTGCCTGTTTTTAAAGTTAATGCATAAGAGTAACTTTTAAAATCAGGTATCATCTATGCATTTCCGGTTATACTCTGTGACAAAACTGTGTGATGATTGTAAATGAGCCACAGATTAGAGAGATTTTTTAAACTCTCTTTAACCAAAGAAAGCTAAGAGATTTAGGTTCTATAGCCATATATTCAGTAGCTTCATTATTTTTGTTATGTTTTTAAAATAACCGTATTTTAGATTTTTAGTGTATCACATCTTCCAATATTATTTATTAATTAATTTATAGTCAGGCAACGTAGGCCGATAGATGAGGTGTTTGGCGAAAAATGTATGGCAATGGACTTTATGATGTCGCCTACCGTCTATAATAATTGTCTGAGCACATTTGCATGTAGTGAAAATGATAATATAGTTGTGGATATTAATACCACAGTGTAATAAAAGAATTGTTTGGATATAATTACATTACCATTAGACGTTTTACGAGATAGGTATAATTTTTTCAGATACATAATTGGTTTCAAAGTAAGTCATCTGTTGTAATTTGTAATGCATCTCTTGGCCAGACCAGATTCGCTATAAGCATTGAAATTTTTTATTTAATATCACAGCGGTCTATTGAAAATAGATTTTTTGAAATTTCGATTAATTACGATCTATTGAAAATCGATATATGTATCGGAATTTCGGTTAATTGTCACCGATTAACTGTCATTCGATATGGCTTAGAAAACCCATCCTTCACAATTCACGCCCCACACACGCCAAACTTATAAAATTTAATGAAACTGCACGCACACGAGACGGGATAAAAATTAAAATAATAATAATAATAAATAAATATTTCCAACACACACACCAATTAGCCTAGCCCCAAAGTAAGTACTATAAGGCTTGTGTTATGGGATACTAGGATAACGGATAGAATACATATACTGCACATATATAAGTATATTTATATTGAAATACATATTAAACATCCATGATTGGAGTACAAATGCACGTATTCATCACACAAACATCTGCCCCCACCGGGATTCGAACCCGGGACCTCTCGAGTCCGCGACACCATGAAACTCGGCGTACAAACCACTCGGCCACGGAGGTCGTCATATCAAAAAATGAAAATTAAAGAAATGAACAGAACATGGCAGGCAGCTTTCAGTCGGTTTCGATTTTCGGAAAGCAAACAACTTTTCGTTTAATTTACGGTATTTATGTTACACAAAACAATTACACGATAATCTTTATTAAGTTATCGTAGTTATAACTTAGAGTACAATGGTTAGCAACATATGCATCGTTTAATTTTCTGGGCCAAATTGCTAGTTAATACAAAATACAATGAGATGCACAGCGAAAAATAATATGGATAACAGTGCTTTAAGAAACTAGTTTATTTAACCTTACTTTCATTCTTTTAGAGATGACATAAATATATGTTTTTTTTTCAACTGACAGGTAGGAACAACTAATAAATTATACTTACATGTAAACTTAACGATGATTGCAATTTTCTCTTTAAAATAATTTAAATCTAATATATAAAATTCTCGTGTCACGGTGTGCGTAATTGAATTAGTCCGAAACGGCTCGACTGATTTTCGTGAAATTTTTATTGCGTATTCAGTAGGTCTGAGAATCAGACAACATCTATTTTTCATCCCCCTAAATGTTAAAGATGGTCCCAACCTTCTTTTTTTGGACTAAATTTTTTGTTTTTATTTTTTTATGATACATAATACAAAAACATATACAACCCTAAATTTTTACCCTTCTAACACCAACGGCGGTACGAAGTTCGCTGGAACAGCTAGTTTACATATAAATAGGTATATGTATTGTTTACTTTCATAATCTGGCATCCCCGAAAATAAGATTATTTGTTGTTAGAGTCAATCCGGTGAGAATAACTTTGTTCTGTTTCTTAAACTAGATTAATATTTACCATACGTTCTGGTATTATCTAAGTATTGTTAAAATAAATTTTCTCCTTGTAAATCTTTGAAATATCTAGATTATAGATGTTATCTAATGTTTAGTTTGATCTTCTTTCTTTCGCTTTCTAATTTCCTCTTCGCGTAAGAACCTACCTATTTGCTAAAATCTTCATAAGAATGATACGTGCGCGGAATTGCCTATCATACCTACCTACAAGTCCCACCTGTTGAATCACGTTCTAAGCTCGGGCCAATACAGTGCTACTCGTATCAAACAAACTTAAAGACATCAACATAGAAATACGTAAATAAATAAATAAATACAATTAACAGATAATTTGGTAGATACTTAAGTATAAAAAAGGTTCAAGTTATTTATATTCATACATATATTAATAACTTTTTTAAACTTAAGTATGTACCTACTTAAACCTGTTGATTTCAAAACTGATTACAAATGAGCCAGTTAAATAATAATGTATATAACATTTTAGTAACGATTAAATCCTTACTTAAAATAAAAATCCTTCCTATCCTTAATAAAGATCCTTTTTCTGCCTTTTAATCAGTAAAATATGAAAATAGAAGATTTTTAAAAGGATAACTTACCTTTACTGGCATCAGGTCCACTTCTTATCTTATTGCACAAAATTTAGGAATATAGGTACGTAATATACCTAGTTAAAGTGTCTTGAAATTTCTAATGAACGATTAGTCCCTCGTAATGTAGTAGGTAAATAAATTTAAAAACTACATTAATTTCTCACAAAACCATCACAACCCCTGACCATAAGTCCTTAAGTGAGCGAGAAAAGCCACCGGAAATCTCAACGGAACTTTCGTGACGCCTAATAAAAATTCGAGCGCTTTTTAACGATCCTTTTAAGAAAAAACAACTACTCAAATCAAAAAAAAAATATTTGATCGCGAATTCTCACGAGTTATTTTATCAGTGTTGTTGTTTCAACGTCTGATATTATAATGAATTATGCCTGAGAAGTAAACATCGCCACTCCATTACTCCCGCCACTTAGAGATACACCTACATCCCCTTCGCAGTCCGGCCCATTTTTCCACTAACTCAATAGGTGGTCGGTCCACCAATTAAAAATAACGAATTTAAGTCCTTATCGCTGGATTATAATAATGAGCGCCTAATATTTTGAAATAGCAAATATTCTTATCGAGGTTTTTGCACTAAAAAATACAACAGATGGTGCATAAAAAATAAGAAGAGTTATTTAAAATTACTTTGACAATTCGTTAGTTGACATTAAATTGAAATTTAAAAACTTTGGAATGACAATGGTATTCCGTTTTACGCTCAGCGATGACAAAAATAACTTGGTTAGAATAATATTTTACAGTAAGTTACACTAGGAAGGAACAAATGGGAGGGGATATTGATGCATAGGGTGTATGCGTTTATCTTCCCTCTCACTTACTGGTGTATCGCCTTAGTGCCCGTTTCCCAGACAGGTGAAGGTAACCCAAACTTAGGTTCCTATAAGAAATGTACGTACCCTTAGCACGAATTATTATCGAATTCGAATAGTTTGCGAGTCCGAAATGACATTGTCAAATTTTGTATAGAATCTTGAACAACAGCGCCACAACGGACGTAACGAGAACAAAATATCAGTACACATTTGACAATTACATTTTGTACTCGCAAACGAAACGAATTCGATACTGGTTCGTGCTAAGGGGTACAGAACTACAGAATAAAAAAATCTCAAAATATTGTGAATCATTTACCTATCGAATGAAATAAAGTGCAAATTATGTTGGAGAAAACAAAAAAAATCTCAAAATATTGTGAATCATTTACCTATCGAATGAAATAAAGTGCAAATTATGTTGGAGAAAACTGTCAAATCTTTTTTGAAATGAAACTTCTTTAGGCACGCTTGACTTGGGGGGTAAACTGGCGAATGCGTGACAATGTTGCGTTACGCGCGTAACGGTGAGTACGGTGACCCATCTGTAAACAATGAACAATTTATACACGTCACAATATACATGAATCTAGTGCTTGGTGGGTGATAACGGACCCGACGCGGATTGGTGGTTGATAACGGACCCAGTGCGGATTGGTGGATGATAACGGACCCAGCGCGGATTGTTGGGTGATAACGGACCCAGGGCGGATTTTTGGGTGATAATGGACCCAGTGCGGATTGGAACCCTCCCGATATCACCCGATAACGAACCAGGGATGTTACGGAGCTTCTATTCCGACTCCGTTAAGTCTTCCGATTATTATTACCTTCGGTTCCGACTTCGGCTCCGACACTTTTAAATCGGAGGTTTATCGGAGGTCGAAGCATAACATAGCGACAGCGGCCTGCGTCCACTGTTATGAACAGGTTCATACATGTCGCACGAGGAATCCCTCTGACTCCCGCTACGTGCGCTCTATCGTCAATTATTTTTCCACGTCTTATTAGTTTTGTTAGTTTGTTACGCACACGACACGTTCATAGGTTATAGACATTTGTTTTGATTTTTGTGACTTAGTATCAATAAAAGTGATCTGTTTTTGTGTTGGACAATGAAACCAAAATCAAGTTGTATTTGGAACTACTTCATTGAAGTTAATTCAGATTGGGCAAAGTGTATTAGAATTAGCATTTATTTATTTGCATTTGAATAGGGTACACTGGGGATCTTACAAATTTTGAAGTTCGGCCCATTCAGCCATCTTAAATAGCATGCAAATATTTTACACTACATTACTAAACGTAATACATATTAATTTACATTGTCATATATACATATTAATCATTTTTGAATAACAATAAATTTAAATTCATGTAATAAATAATATGTCAGTGAAATTACAAAAAGTGTCAGCTTTATTTTATAAAACATCATTCAAAATTAAATACATGGTTAAAAAACTCAATAGTCAAATTAATTATGTCAAAGATTACAATGTTAATTATAAAGCACCATTAGGTAAAGAGAAGAACCTTCTATAATTATATGTCATTAAAATGTCACTAGTTACAATCACTCAAATACTCTTTTACACTATAAAACATCTTATCGTGTAGCCATTTAAACAAAGCAGTCTTAAATTTTATAAAATGCAATTGTTTTATGTTTGTTGGTACCTTATTATAAATGTATGTTCATATACACATCCATTATCAATTCTTTTTAAACCGCATTGTCTTTGGAATTATTACAGACACTAGTCTATTGCCATTGCGTGTATTTCGAGGTTACAAATCTTCAGCTTGTTTAAAATGATGCATATTTTGCTTTACAGCAACATCAAAAATGTAAAGACAAGGCAATGGTAAGATTTTTAAGTGTTTAAACAGCGGCCTGCACGGTTCGTCAGGTGCAGTTCTACATATTATAATAGCTCTTACACATTTTTTGCACTATAAAAGCCTTATTGGCTTCTATACTACCTGTAAACTGTGTATGAACACGTATTCAAGAAAGGGAGGTACGACAACGTCTTTAAAAGGTCATTTAATGTCTGTCCGTACCACTGAATACGAACAATTAATAATATTAGAAACAGAAAAGAAAAATACAGTACAGACCTCGACTTCGTCGCCTCTTCAGGATGCAAAAAAAATAACAAACTACTTTAAGAGAAACTTTGCTGAAGAATCAAAAATGGTGTACTTCTAATACTCAATCTATGGAAATTGACAGATTGATTCCTGAAAAGAATGCTTTACAAGATCTCTAAAAAAAATTGAATCAATTGTGTTTTATTTGTCTGTAAATAAAAAATCTCTCTCCTGCCACCACTTCTGACCCTGCCCCCGCCTCCGGTTCCGACTCCGCTAAATCAAATTTAAAAACTCCGACCCCGTCTTCGGTTCCGATACCGATATAATACCTCCGTTACATCCCTATAACGTTACAATGGACCCACTGGACTGGATTGGTGGGTGATAACGGACCCAGTGCAGATTGGTGGGTGATAACGGACACAGTGCGGTTTAGTGGGTGACAATGGACCCAGTGCGGATTGGTGGGTGATAACGGACCCAGTGCGGATTGGTGGATGATAACGGACCCAGCGCGGATTGGTGCTTTTTATGAGTTGAGATTGGTGTTAAGTTTATGATTTTCAGATCATTGGAGCTAAAGAAGTTTTACTTCAGTCGTGTGGTCATAAGCACACTCGCTTTTTTATTTTTTATTTGTCTTAGCAAATTCTATAAAAAAATAACAAAACATAAATGAAAACTTTTTAAAATAATTAAGTCGAATGTTTTTTACCGAGAAGAAAAAATCTTCCTTGTATAATAATAATTTACTAAATACTTAACTATCTTGTATTCCAAATCTTCTTCTAAGGTCATATATATGGGGTAAATACTTATTCTGGTAATCTATAAAAACAGAAAATTGGGTCGACCGCGGCCTCGTGCTGTTAGAACTACACTCGCAAACAAAAGTCTTGAATCACTTACTTGAGATTGGTTCCGCGCGATTTTGTGTAAAAATTTTTTTAATCATCATAAAAACGACATCATTTTGAAGGAACTTTCAACTCTTAACTATTAACTGATACCGAATTCATAAAAATCAAGCCAGTATTTAAGAAGCTATCACGGATTAAGTGAAGGAATAACCAAAAAGACGTGTTTCGATTGTTTGATACGTCGCGAGTTGCGACCTATTGACCTGCCTATAAAAGCATCTGTTATCGGATTTTCTTTATCTGTACATGACCGGGATCACAATCGAAGCGTGGCGAGGAAAGAAAGGCCCGGCCCAGTGTCACCGGTGCCAGGGCTTTCAACACTCGTCGAAGGGATGCCACCGACCAATCGCCTGCGTGAGTAGCCCAACATGCCACTGCCGACTGCCCGCGCCCGAGATCGGAGCCTGCGACTTGCGCGAACTGCGGCCGCCCCCAGCCGGCAAACCACAGTAGCTGCCCGGCCCTACGTGAAGAAGGGCGAAACAAGACCGCGTTGACTGTGGCTAAGACGCTTCCTGTCACTTATGCCACCATCCGCATGTTCGCTTACCTCGACAAGAGGTAAGCGAACATGCGCCGGCCCCACCCATGTCATCGGTGAACGCGCCACCCGCCCGAGATGGTACCACAACCATTTCCACCCACTGCCGCCGCCGGAAAAGGGGACGCCGCGGCGCTACAAAGAACACCAAAACGGGCACTCTTCCAGCCCCAACCAAACCAACACCACCGTCGATGTTCGCGCCTGCCTAGGCATCATCACTACCCACCGACGCCATCCAGCAATTGCTCGCCTTCGAAGGGAAATTCCAATTCTGCCTCCAACAGCACCTGCCGCAAAATTCACTCCAAAAAAATTCATGCTCTGGAATGCGCAGACGCTTACGGGGAAACGCCGTGTGCTGCTGCAGTTTCTGCGCAAGCACAAGGTGGACGTGGACCTCGTAAGCGAAACTCGCCTCTCACCCAGCACCACTTTTCGATTGCCAAATTATGTGGTATACAGACAGGACGAGACGTCATCGACGGACGGGCGGCCTATCAGAGGGCTAGTGGTAGCAGTCCATCGCCGGGTAATCCACCAGCCTGACCCCTTAGCACATACCACCACACTCCGGGCACTCGGCGTCGACATTCAGCTCGATGGTATCGACGTCTGGATGTTCGCAGCCTATAAACCCCCGAGCACCCTTATCGAACCCAAGGAATTAAGAGACCTCCTGCACCCGCTATCTACCGTCGTGATGGGTGACCTTAATGCAAAACACCTATCCTGGCATTCTGCTTTGATCAACCCTACCGGACGCTGCATCCTCCAGAACTCAATGGACCATAACCACGATGTGACGGGCCCTCCCGACGACACGCAATCCAGCTGGAGGCGTCGATGAATAATGTCGTCGACTCGAAATCATAGTCCATCGAACCGTGGACTCCACCATCACACAGGAGGTAATGATGGACCTCGATCACCGCCCATTGGTGTGCACATTGCACAGCCCTCTCAACCGAGTGAAGCCGAAAACGGATCGACTGGTACAAATTCCAAACCACAGCGGCAACAACCATCACTACACGGCCAATAACAACCCCCGCAGATGTGGAGGCCGCAGCCGAGGAGATCACTGCCGACACAGACTGAGCTCAGAGCCTCCAAGCGCACCACCACCGGCTCAGGAAAGTACCCTCCTCTCTCACATAAGATCAGAGAGCTAATAGCGGACAAACGCAAGGCCCAACGACTCTGGCAACACACTCGCTGCCCTACCACCAAAGCTCGACTGAACTCGCTCTCGGCCCAACTCAAGCGCGCTCTCGATGACGAGGCTGCCAACTCTTGGGACAGACACATACTGAGCGTGGACAGTGACATGCCCTCCGTTCAGCGTCTATGCCGGCAGCTTGCCACCACTCCACCAACACCACGCCCGCTGCTACTCAACAACGGCCACCCTCATTACCGCGTGGAAGACCGCGTTGGACTGCTGGTGACCACCTGGTAGATCTCTTCACGTCATTCGCCACGGCAGACGGTGAGCATGTGGAAACCGTGAGATGCCACGTGAATAGCTGTCTGTCGTCGCTACCGCCACCAAAAGTAGATCCCATCGTGATCTCGCCTCGCTAGGTACAGCGCGAGACTCTCAAATCGAAGCCCAGAAAAGCCCCTGGACTGGACTGCATCAGCCATGCCGCCCTACGCCACCTGCCACAGAAGTCTGTAGCCGCTTTCACCCGGCTGTTCAACGGCATCTGCCGCATGGCTCATCATCCATCCACCTGGAAAGAGGGTAAAGTGATCATGATACCGAAGCCGGGAAAAAATCTGTCAATCCCCGCTAGCTATCCAGCCTATCACTTTACTCTCCACCACCTCCAAGATCTTCGAGGGCCTACTGCTGCCGAAAATCTCAGCACACTTTGAGCCGCGCCCCGAACAGTTCGGGTTTCGAGCCGAACACTCCACGACACTACAGCTTGTGCGAGTTCTTCACCACCTCGCCACCTGCAGCAACAAAAAGGAGACCGTAGCATTGGTTATGCTGGATATGGAGAAGGCCTTCGACAAAGTCTACTACGAGGGCCTCATCTATAAACTTTCGCAAGCCAACCTATCTCCACGCCTACTTGACATCATCGCCTCCATCCTCACCAACCGCCGCTTCCAAGTCACTGCGACTTGCGAAGGCGCTCTGTTGACTCCACGCCCTATTCACGCAGGCGTTCCACATGGCAGGTGTATCTCTCCGAGGCTGTACGCTGCGTATGCGAACGAGCTCGCGCTGTACGCCGATGACACTGCATACTTTAGCACGTCGATCAAACCATGCCGCAGCCAAGCTCCAGCCCACATTAGACGTCCTCGTGCCCTGGCTCGAAAACAGGCGCATGCGCGTCAATGTGACAAAGACGCAGGCGATGTTAACTGGACACAGGCATCGCCCCCCCACCCCCGCTCCCCATCCTGGGAGAAGCTGTCCCATGGACGTCCTCAATAAAGTACCTGGGCGTTACTATCGACGACAGCCTCAGCATGCACACCCACATGAATAACACCATTGCTCGAGTGACGTCAGCGCGGGCGCAACTGCGGCCCCTTCTATGCAGCAGACTAGATCCCAACCCTTTAGACTTCAATGCTGTTCTCCGAGAATACGAAATCACAAAGTTAGACTGGCCTGCCGGCTCTCCTGACTTAAACCCAATAGAGCACGCGTGGGGTGCTCTTACTTAACCGAGCTGTTTGGAACCGGCAGCCACCACCACAGACAGTGCCGCAGCTCAGAGAAGCTGCTATTCAAAAACAGGACAGGTTACCACAAAAAATGCTGGATAACTTGATCCTCAGCATGCCCAGGAAGATCTCCGCATGTGTTCGAGCCAGAGGAGGAGTTATTTTGAATTAGATAAACAATTTATATATAAAAAGTTTTAAAGTTTGGTTTAACTATCTTTTTATTTCTATCAAAGTTCTTTTACAATCGCCTTAGAAACAGAATTATTATTATTTTTATCCAAAAAAATAAAATTAATTTTTTTCTTTAATTTCAGAAAGTGTTAATTTAAATAATAAAAGATATAACGTTAACATTTAATCTTGATTAAGTTAAATTTGGCCACTGGCCCAAACATCACTCCCGGTCAGGTTCGGTGGTTTAGGCGTCCGTAATACTTTGGACTTCTCCCCCCGGCCTTCATTTCCTCTGTACAAGCTACCGAACCACTCGTTGCGAAAATACTTGAGCGTCCTTTGAGCATATCCTTGTTCTCGCTTCTATATGCAGCCGTAGCAGCCTGGGGTGCAGCCTGCCCTGACACTGACGTCCCGACGGACACTGCCTACCAGCGACTTTGAAACGCGCCACCCTGCACTCTGAAACACAATGCGCTTATAGAATCAGCGAGCAGTCCCGCACACCGTGCGCGTCTCTTAACCGTTGGCAAGTGGGCGGTTGTCTATGGCTACAAGTATTACCTTCCTCGAACATCAGTACGCTCCTTGACCGCTCAACTTTTCGCATAGCCACGTCCTTGCGCCTTGGCTTGCCCTGTGTCGTCCCCCATCTTTTCCGGTGCGGAGCTGTTGTATCACGGTCCAACCTCGGCTATCACGGTCTCTCCTGCACAAGGACTGCCGACCGTATACCTCGCCACCACTGCATCAACGATGTCATCCGCAGGGTACTCGCCTCCGCTAGCGTACCAGCCGTTTTAGAGCCAAGCAAACCTGGCGCGCGACGACGTTAAGAGGCCCGACGGTATTTTACTCGTCCCTTGGAAGCTGGCACGGGCAATTATGTGGGACGCAACCTGAGTCGACACTCTGGCCTCGTCGCATATTCCCGGAACCTCGATTCGGGCTGGCGCGGCTGCTTCGACCGCAGAGTACGATTGCCTTAGCGGAGACCTCACATTTGCGTC